ACCTCACCCACCAGATTTCGGACTGCTAACGAGCCATCGATACGGGATTTTGTGCTCACTAACGAAGAACTCATGGTTGACCGGATAGTTGCAAGCACACCACTGGGTCGTAGTGACCATGTTACTCGACTGTTTGACTATATATGCTATGCGGAGTATCCTGAAAAGGAGGGTGATAAAGTGCATACTGTTACGCACTATGCTGAGTTATCTACGCTTGTTAAGGATACATCTTCCACTTTCTTAACCGAATGCCCCTCGATGTTGCCTGGTAAACCTTTACAATGACGTTTAGCACACTGGTAACGCACGCATCAGAACAGAAGTCCTTCCAAGCCAAAAACAAGCATAAGTCAATACTGAGGAGCAGAACCCGCAAACGTATGTTCCGGAGGGATTTGGCACGTCGAGAGCACAAGGACTGCTCGAATGCCGAAACCTGGAATGCATACGTGACACATCGTAACTTCTGTGTGAAACTGATCCGTGAACACAAGATCACGCATCAGCAGGAGTTAGTGAAGCGATTCTACACGAACCGTAGACTTCTGTGCAGGCTCGTTAACGGCCTTCGAAAGGTGAAGCGGGGGATTCCAACTCAACTCACGGCGGATGGGTGCACGTGATCAGCAATGGAAGCAGCTGATCTCCTACAACTTCATTACTCCCAAACTTTCCATCAGGTAACGAGCCCAAACATTCTCCTCGTTTCTATTACTCCACCGTCGGGTTTAGACAGCATCACCTTCACTACTTCCTGTGATCTCCAAGGTTATGGAGGCCATTGTAGCTGAGACTTCGATGGAGTACCTGGAGAACAACAAAATTCTCGTTCCGGAACAGCATGGATTTCGCGAAAATCGCACCTGTACCACTAATCTGTTGATTGCTCGTGCAAACTGGAAGGAATCTGTGGACGCTGGTGAAGGAGTCGACGAGGCCTACCTAGATTTCAAAGGCATTCGACCGTCTAGACCATGGCGTTCTCCTCCACAAACTCCAGAAATATGGAATCGGCGATCCTTTTCTTGGCTGGATAGGAGACTTTCTCGTTCAACGTCACCTGAATGTGAGGGTTAGAAGCAACCTGTCGGAATCCATCGAAGTTCAGTGCGGCGTACCTCAGGGCTCGGTACTTGGACCCCGCCTGTACCTGATTTTCATAAATGATCTCGCGAGTGTGCTATCTGCCAACTGTTTGCTATTTGCTGATGATCTAAAGCTATGGCGTACTATAGCTGCAGTGGAGGATCACACAGTGTTACAGGAGGACCTGGACAAAGCGTACACATGGTCTATCGAAAACATGCTACATTTCAACATCATCAAGTGCAAAGCTCTCAGCATACGGCAAAAGAACATGCACAAATAACGCCTAGGGCCAGAAATTCTACAGCGGGCTTCTCACGTGTGCGATCTCGTCGTACTAGTTCAAGATGACCTTGGTTGTTTTAGGCAGACTGAAAAAGCATCTAAGAAAGCGAACCAGTAGCTCGGCCTTCTTCGCAGAGCTTTCGGGAAGTTTGACAATTCAGTCTTTCCAGAAATGCTTAGTGTGTACTTGAGGGCGCACGCGGAATGCGCTATTCAAGCGTTTCAACCCTGGCTCAAGCACCATTTCATCGCACTCGATACTGCACAACGTAGGGCAATGAAGTGCGTCAGAGTTTTGACCAGCCTCCCCTACCCACTCAGGCTGAAGACCCTCAAAATACACAGTGCACGTTATCGGTGTCTAGGTTGCGGTCTCATAATGGTGTACCAGATCCTGCGAAACCCCAATCACTCATGCCATTCCCTTCTGATACTCAGTCAAAACCCACTAAGAGGTCATCAGTTTAAGCTTGTCACTCAGTACAGCCGCATGGAATGTCGGCGAAACTTTTTCTCCTTTCAAGTGTCACAGCCTTGAAACGCCCTACAAAAACGTGTTATTAATGCTCCCTCCCTATCCCTTTGCAAAAAGCATCTTGACGATACTCTGTCACTTCTGCATTACGTGCTATAGCCCATGACCACCAGAGGCTGATACTAATGCACAACAGACAGTGGACAGTGTTATAGCCCTACTCAGAAATGACACTCCAAACCCCTTGCACACGATTTGATAAATGCTACTACTGTAGAAACTGGATTTCTGTATCCCTTCGACCCAAGAGAGTTGCACACGAGTAAACGTTGTCCTTGCTATTTTTTCTTTTGTTTTCTCGCTTATTACGTGATCACTAACCACTCCCCTTATGCCTTTTTGTGCGAACATTTTAATTTCAAACCCTTTACACGGCAGTGCAGTTGGATTTGAAATCGCCCGAACCACCCTAAGGGACATGTCAAGCACCTGCTTTTTTACCCGTTATAAAGCATTGTTCATCGTTCATGGAAGAAGTTGCTATCCTTGCATATCCACAGTTTTCCTGGAATCGACAACATCCGATCAAAGGTTGTGTAGGCGGTAGCTAGTGATCTAGCAGAACCATTGGCTGTTTTCTATTAGCGATGTCTACAAGAGAACCATATTCCACCAGTATGGAAGCGAGGGGTCATCACTCCTATCTATTAATGTGGTAGCAGCACTGACCCCACCCATCACCGCCCAGTAACACTGCTTCTTGTAGTATCCAAAGTGATGGAGTCAATCATCGCAGATGCGCTGATGCAATATCTGGAAAGCCACAACTTAATAGACCCAGAGCAACATGGCTTTCGTCAAAAGCATTCGTGTAATACTAACCTATTAATTGCACGTAATGGTTGATTGAAGCTGTTGATGATGGAGCAGGAGTCGATGTCATTTGCCTGAACTTTTTAAATGCATTTGATCGCTCAGACCATCGAATTATTCTTCAGAAGCTTCAGAACTACGGCATTGGCGACCCAATCCTGAGTTGGATTAGCACTTCTCTACACGAACAACAGCTAGAGTTGGGAGTCCGAGAATCATTGCCCGATGAAATCGATGTGGTGTATGGTTTACCACAAGGCTCGGTGCTTTGATCTCGTCTATTCTTGATGTTCATAAACGATTTGGCGAGATCAACTGCCTCCGATTTCCTATGTTTCGCTGATGATCTCAAGATATGGCGAATCATCAGCGGACCGGGCGACCACGAACGGCTCCAGTGCGGTGTCAACGCACTGTCGAATTGGTCAATTCAGAATGCCCTATCATTCAACGTTGTGCAATTACGTCATGGACATAACTGCATATATTTGCTTGGGACAAACTGATTGCAGACCAGCTCCCAGGAAGGTGACCTTGATGTGCTCGTACAGGGCGACCTCAACTGTTCAAAACAAGCTGAGGTAGCTGCCAAAAGAGGTATCCAGCACCTCGGCATACTGCGCGGGGCATTTGGGAAGTTTGATTCTATTTTTGGCGACGGAAGGTAGTGGATCAAGATGTCAATTTCAGCGGAAGACCTGAAAACCATTTTGTTGCAGCAACAGCAGCAATTTGAAACAGCACAGCTGCGTATGATTGAAACCCTCACCCTCAGTCAAATGGACAAGCAGAGCGCTTCGTCGACACGTTTAAGCGATCGCTACTAAAGATGCGGGGGGAAGGAACCACACAGGAGATACTTGATACATTTTTGCTCGTGTACAGATCAACTTCAAATCCCCAAGTACCAAACCAGTTGTCGCCGGCAGAAGCACTAATGGGAAGAAAACTCCGTACTGTGAATTCCCTGCTAACTCCGAGGTGTACTAATGAGCAAGAAAGGAACGTTCGGATGGAGCAGTACTACAACGAGCGACACAGAACTCAAGCACGCCGCTTTTACCCCGGACAGCGTGTCTTAGTAAGAGACTATCGCGCGGGAAACCCGCAATGGATGGTAGGATCGATACGGAGAAATATTGGACAGGTGCTATATGAGGTTAATGTGGGTAATTTGATTTGGACCAGGCATTCCAATCAGCTGCGACCAACTAGCATCCCTGCGGGCACAAGCGCTCGGTTACTACCGTTAGATATTCTACTAGAGAGTTTCGACATGCCATCTAATCCCCAAAGCAATTCGGATGCATCCCGCACAGAAGTTTCAGAGGAACCGAAGGTCCAGACCCGGCGCTGTACTGATCGACTACGGAGACCTGTCGTAAGAATGCAGTTGGATCCAAAAATGAAGTCTTATGTCAACTTTTGCGGGGGAAGGTGTTAATGGGACGGAACCAGCCAATGAGAGCGTTTTACGCTGAGGGCTATTGATTTGGCCAGAAATTGAATGTACCGTTAGTTGGACGTTAAGAAAAAAATATACTTGCCAGCCGTACGCCGGTCTCCTGCTTTGGGAAGTCGGGCTGATCAGAGTGCACGCTAGCAGCAGGTCATCGGTAGGTCAGCCGAAACCTTAACAATTCATCGATCTTCCTAATAATGCACAATTCCTACGTGCGCCCGCATGTTGAATACACTATCCAAGCTTGGCCACCTTGGTTGACGCGCGATCTAGAGGCGTTAGAGGCACCAGAACGAAAAGCAACAATGAATGTAAAGAGCCTGCGCTATTCCTCTTGCCACCGAAGGCTGAAGTTGCTGGGAATTTTCAGCGGATGCTATCGAAGATTGCGCGCGCGTATCAGATATTAAATAAATAAATAAATAAATAAGTATCCTGCTTACCCGGATGTGTGCATACATCGCAGTTTGATTTAAAATACCACCTGGATTCCACCGGCCACTTTCTCATCTATAAACCGCGATGCCACCAGAGGGGGAAGAATCAGGCTTGCGCCAACATACGGCACCAACGCTTCGCTGTCAAGCGACCAACGCCATTCGATTTCTGTTTAGTTTTTGGGTCGTAACTGTCCTACACCCCTTCTGGAGAACTATGCGATTGATCATTCATGTAGTGCGCTATGTCACTGAACCTCCTATTCGGTGATCCCTTCGTGTGTGACAGGCCACCATAAACCAAGAATCATTTGTTGCTCTTTATTCACTGCATGAAATAGGTCAGTGTGTCTGGCTCTGAGACTTTAATCTTACTCACCTGCACTGTACTTTGAAGGCTGAGCCTCTCTGTATCTTGGTGAACCAACTCCGAGTCTCCATGCTCCTGATCCTCTAGACTGTTCATACGTTGAACTGACTGTGTTGTTCGCCGATGTTGTTCCACAGACCATCTGTGACACGTTCACCGCCGCGCCAGCTACTCGTGTCGCTTCAGTATTCTGTACATCTGTCAACGTGGTCCCATGCCACTGAGTGCCTCGGGCTCCTGAAGTCACAGGGCTTCGTAGTGTCACTTGATTGCCCTTTCTGATGCCCTCCTCTTTGCTCATTGTTGGTGGCCGTTCTCTGGAAAACAAATTAGCTGGTACAGTGTGATTCACCTGGTCACCGAGCTGAACATCAAGCTTTCTTACTGGTCGATCCGACTGTTGATACTGCCACAGATTGGGTACGGTAGCGGCTGTTGTTTTCTCTTTTGTCTTTCGTTCTGCACCCGACTCTCCCTGAGAACGTTGTCTTCCTTGAACTGAGTTGATCTTGATAGTCACCGGTTTTTGTGTCTTACCTTTGCTGCGATGTTCGTCTGTTTCCAATAGGGCATCGGTAGACAGAACGTGATTGAGCCGTGGTCCCAAGCGATTTGGTGAGCCGCCAGATGTTGAGATGTTTGTTTTCGACCTCAAGCTATGCTTCCGCTTCTCTTTTTTTCTGCGTCGCATCGTCATCACTGAAACACAAAGCGCGTAGAACATGTTCTTTTCAGTACATGGACATCTTAACGTAGAGGATTTTAGAAAATGCATCACTCAGCTGTCAGATGCGATCTTATTCCTTGGTATATCGTGATCAAGAAAACTGGTCATTCACTTTTGGACACTACCCCAATGCCACCATTGCCGATTTGTATCCTCAAGCGCTATCTACTAGATACCGCCTATAGTCGTTTTCAAAACTCTTCCCAGTAGGTTGTTCACCACTCAGAATCACCAGCCCTGTGAATATGATTCAGAGCTTCTAGTCTACGATACTCGCAAGAATACTCTTCACTAACATACTATGTGATCAATATTCTATGAATCACCTTCATCTTCTTACTCAGTGCCGCGCGTTGAAAATCTGTTACGCCCATTCTTTAACCCATGGATCCATAGTAATCAAGGCTAATCATCCAGTTAGTCAAAAGAAAGGTGCTTTTCCTGAGTACACGGATCGTGTTGTCTTCACAAGACTTCACTTAACAGAAGCCCAGTCGATTTGAACGATGCTTACCTTACTTTCGTATACGTAGCGTCCTACGGTTGCTTCCTGCAGCAGAATCACATTTTTGGTAAAGGCTGGTGGACTTAGTGTTCGCTGAGCTCGGCAGGTTGACTGCAAACGTTTCGTCAACACAAATGCACACATACTCTTGCATCTTACAAG